GATTTTTAAACCCCCCCCCCCCGGTTTCCAAATAGAGAGTTTTAGCCATCCAGAATCTGGAAAATATATTCTCGACTAGCGGACCCAGATTCTTCCCGCTGACACTAAGTATTCCGTGCGCGAGAAATTGTGAAAATGTTTGAGTGCCTTCTATACGCGATGCTCATCATAGTCTTGCTAGAGAAACAGGTGCTTCCGTCGCCTTGTGCACGCATTTCCGCGTTCTAGAGAATCTAAGCGCTTCCGGCAGATTCCGGGTGGCGAAAACTCTAATAGATCTGTAGGCAAGCGCCCCCGTTCCCTTATCATCAGACCACTTGAAGTTTCGTCGGCTGGGTAAAAAGTGTGCCCTCATCGCTGGAACCGCCGGGATTAGACAGAGCGTTATCGATACTCGATGAGGAATCGGTAATGGTTCAAATCCGTTACGAATATCGCGTAACCACTTACCGCCAATCCAAGCAATTATTGCTCCCGTACATCAGCCGTAAGAACAGCACAAGCAGGGGCAAGCTGTCAGCAACTTACAAAATGTGGGGGCAGGCCTGGGCAAGTCCACCCAGATGCAAAATACCCGGGCGGCGCTTCTTCCGCCGCTACTTCGCCACTCACCCTCGCGACGGTAGACGCCTTCAGCCCGCCCGGGCCTTCTTTCGGTTGTTGTTTTCATTTGATGGGGAAATTGCACGCACACAGCAGGGTTCGAACACTCAAACGGATCAATTCAATATCTATTCAAAACTAACTAATTTACATGCGACGGTACCACTACGATAATGAGCCTTGCTATGCATGTGTGTACTTCGACTATAACCTGTCTTCCGCTGGCGCCACCTCTTCACATCAGTTCACCTCTCGCGGTCAATTGCCTCGAGCAAGCCCACAGCGGTCTCGTGTTTTTTGTAAATAGCACAAGGCCCTGCCGCCGTGAGCGAGCACTCTACTTTCTGGCTCGCGCGGCGGCAGGCGCTGCTGAAGCGACTGAGGTGGCGCATGTGGCCATTACCGGCACCGGTTATGCAATATGGCATAGCCCGACAAGGCAACGACAACCCCTTGCCAACCGTATGTGAGCGTCTTGTGACGGTTTAATATCGGATACGATATTGGCGCTGGTTACAAGCCGTTGCAGACGCACGATAAGCCCCCGGCAATTAATTATCGACAATGCAATCCCGTGGTGCAATCTAATCGAATATCGATCCCGCAAGAATTCTCCGATGCTTGTGCTCAACGAGGATCAAAGGGGTCTAACAACAACACTGAAGTGTCATTTGCGTCACTCAGCTTTTGTTCCCAGTTTGTTCCCCGTAACCTCGGTCCAACAACAAAAGGACTGCTATAAGTACTGTAGTCATCCCCGCCACACCTTATCTTTTCTCACTCCACTAAATCCTCGCTTTTCCATCTGCTCCTCAGCCATGCCTGCTTCCTTTCAGAAACTTTTCACTCTGTTCCCGCGCGATCTGGGCGACATCCAGAAGCTTATATCATCAGGACGTCTCGTCTCCCCCGCCGATTCTCATGCACCCGCGCGAGTCGTTGACATCGGCAATGGCCTGGTCGTCAAATACGGCGACGCGACACGACTCTCAGAGGCTCTGGCGTCCGAGCTCGTTCGCTCCCAGACTAACATCCCTGTTCCTCGTGTTCTCGCCTACTATTCCGACTCCTCCAGAATGCCGTATAAGGTCGGATACATCGTGATGGAGAAGGTCGAGGGTATGATGCTTAGTAGCATCCTGGAGACATTGGACGATGCCGCGATCGGGTCTATCACTTCCCAGTTGGAGCAGTACCTCAACGAGATGAAGAAACTGGACAGACCTGGAGAATGGGGAATGGTCGGCAAGAACGGACTCTATCATCGCAGCCCTTATTTCACCTATCAGCTTCCATCCAATGTCGATCCCAAAAGATCGAATCCTCTTCGAGCTCGGTGCTGCAGAGACTTCGTTGAACATTTTGCCAGCCTAGTTGACCGGAGCATGAACGAGAGATGGGCCGCCAGCACGCGGGCCATTGTCGATTCCTTCAACAACGATCTCCCTTCCTCATTCTGTCATCCCGATCTCGTTCCAGAGAACATCATGGTTGACAAACGCACGAATCGCATTACCGCCATCATCGACTGGCAGGGAGCCGGATGGTATCCGTATTTCTTTCCGTCCTGGGTCGCACGGAATCGGGTGAACGTGTACTCGTCCGCGAAGTATGCAAAGTGGCATCGGATATGGACAGCCTTGATGAAGACGTATCCGGAGTCGGTGGGGATGAATCAGTTGCTTTGGGAAGCTGATGGGTATGGCTTTCAGGATCTCCCCCAATCTGTGTAAGCGCTCTTTCCTTGGTCACCGATCGTCAAGGTCATACCTGAACAATTTCTTACAGGTGCGACTGTTGCGAGTAGGAGCTCATCAATTTATTTGATCGTATTTTCATTAAGAATCCTGTTGCTCTGATCTGGATTGCGATGATATTCCAACTATATACTCTGCACCTGGCTCTGTCCTGGGCTAGTGCTGTGCCCATTGTTCATATAGAACTTCAATGCACATGTATATCTCTTTCTCGCATACCATAGCGCTCCTGCTAACGACTAGTAAATTGAAGTTGGCCCTCCCGGCACGCGTGTCGCGTGGCACAATTCCCTCATCCCACCAAGCGTCACCTGCATTGCATTGCATCTCCTTTCCGTCAAGCGTCATGCACGCCGCACCTAGCTACGTATTCCCTCTACGGATTGTGATATCTGATATCTTGGTGAGATAGCACGGGAAAATAACGGATAGCGCGATATTCGCCAGAGGCGTCCGCTTTTGTGGACCAGCATCCTGCAGAGATCTGATACGGTGAGCGGATTATGCTGCTGGGCGTCCGAGATGTTTGCCACCTCAATTTCTGTTTTTATTCGCTTCCCCATGGTGGGAGGGTATGGAGCGCGTAGCTATAACTCATCGGTTTCTCTGTCGTTATCATTGACCTTCCTAGTCGCCTGTTCCTCTCTGTCCTTGAAGACTCGTGGTCCTGCTTGAAGTTTACAGGTGCGCGCATATGTCACTTCATCTCTTCGCCCCTATATGGAATACATCACATCGTTCTGATCACTTCTTCTTCGGTAGCGTACAGCGATGACCTCTAATTTTACATACACCGTCCGCCCAGCTCGGAGATGCTTTCATCAGCTGTCGACACAGAGCACTACGCCTTCCACGGCGATGACAGGCTCAAAAGCGAAGCACCTCAGACTGCATGGCTCGATGGGAATCCCAGTGCGGTTACCTCATCGGGAGCTGAGACGCGCAGAATGTCGGAAGGGAAGGGTAGCTGGGGCCTTTTGGCGCTGAGCTTCCAGACGCTTGGTGCGTTCTGTACCTACTTCTGCTTTTTCACTTCTCCACAACTTCTTTGACTCTCTACATCTTTCCAAACACCCGCCATTGCTGACACTCTCAATCTACAGGTATAATCTATTCCGACGTCGATACCTCCCCCGTCTATACAATGAACGGCCTATGGCCAGCGACTGGACCAGTACCGTCCGCGGAGGATGTGGTGGGTGGGATCAGCGCGATCGTCTGGGCGTTGACCATTATTCCCTTGGTTAAATATGTGCGTTGGAAGTGTCTGTTTATCAATACTGCGTGTTTTTCAAGACTGATGGTGTTGTTGAAGGTATTTATTGCCTTGAGGTTCGGAACGGGTGAAGGTTGGTACTCATCCCTTGCTGCGCCTCAACTCGACTGCTGTAACCAAAGTTGATCCATGATGTTGTTATATGCTTTCTAAGGCGAGGGTGGCATCTTTGCGCTTTACCAGGGTCTTTATCCGTCTATTTATCTCGCAGCCTCCGACTTCGTCACGAATGTCTCGACAACTGACTCATGTAGCCCTAAATCGACAAGGAAGAGGAGGGTCCCACCTCCTCGTATGCGTTGGCCGTTGCTTATATGGGTAAGCCCTGCGATATACTTGAGCAAGTTGACGGGCTTTGAACGAACCTTGTTTTCATTGTGGTGGGGTGATGCAGGCCCTGTTCGGAACGAGCCTTACCATGGCGGATGGGGTTTTTACGGCGGCTGTTTCTGTGACCAGTGCTGTAGGAGGCATAGGTGTGCATTTTTTTCTCTTTTCTCTTCTTTTTCTTCACTCGATCCCTCGGTCTCTGATTGGCGCCGTGGTCAGCTGTGGCGAAACCAGAAGTTGCGAACTCCGTCGTCCCTATATCTATCGTGACTATTCCAACTTAGCCACCGAATAATGTGCAGATGCTAACTTTTGCTGATATTATAGGGTTTCCTTCTCGTCCTATTCCTCGCGCAACCTTTCGGAACACATAAACTTTCCGTCGTATTCGCTCCAGGTACGGTTCATTCCTCCGCTTTGCATTTCGGTTCGATTGCAGACCTTGAGTTGGCTGACGTGGAAGGGTATTCTCAATATGAAGTTACGGGTATCTGGCTCCTCCTCATCGCCGGTTCTGGGATCACTAATATAACGTAGTACCCTGCGATATGGAGGGTGTTTGATACATCGAGGGCTATTCTGTGTATGTCTCACTTTTCTCTCATATTTATGGCGTAGGACTTGACCTTTTACCCTAAGGACGGGAAGTTGACACCATTTTTTTCGTCTTTTTATACGTGCTCGTAGATTTTGTGAGGACAAGAAACTATGATCTTCTCGCCGGGGTTTTGTTGGCCCTGACGGGGTGTGAGGCCATGTTCGCGAGGTTTGTCCATTTGGCCTTTCCCTCTCTTCACCTCTGAACATCTCGGACCTAACGTCAACTATAGTCTGGGCCACTTCAATATGCGGTCTATTCAGGTTGACTTCCCTCCTCTTCATTCCCAGACGTTTCCCGCTAACAGATCCCCTTGTCCTTCCATTCTTATATCCTCCCCCACCCCTCTAATCGTTACATAGATCTCCTTCTCCACAGTCGTCTACCCCTGCATCAGCAAAACCGCAACGGAATATCCCGTCTATGACATCTATCCAGCCATGTTCCTAGATCAATAGATCGATAGATCAATCTCTACTCCTAACGGACTTCCATATCGCTAGACACCCCATAGGCTATTTAGGCCGTATAGCAGTACGCGCCTTTCGCACCATAGACCCACCATAGAGTACATAGAGCAATTTATCATTACTGTCTACTTCTGTATGACAGCGGAATACATACATGCTCTCCAATAACAACGGGACAGACATCGGTAAACACTGATAATATCGTGCAGGAACGGAGAAGGGATCATATGAAAAGGGCTGGAACGAAATAAAAAAGGCGCGATTCACGAAAGCCAGGAGCACATTCGCGCTCAACACTAAAGCGGAATGCTAAAACAACAGATTTTGAGGAGACATGGCACTACTTGCATACCTGCAAGGCCCGAGCTTCGCTACTCACATCACTAGTCAACCAGTACTGACACTAAGGAGCTGGCACTGCTCCTGAGGGTAGAAATGGGATTTGTGAATAAGGAAGATGGAAACACACGTAC